AACAATTTTCACAACTTCCAAAAAAAATCTAGCACATAAAAATAAAACATGTGCAACCCGAGGAACATAAGCTACACAGCGAAGCGCGCACTTCCCTTCTATCTAGTCCGGGCAGCGCTAAGTGCTGGCCGACCGGCTCTAGGGTTCGGTTGGTCGCATGCAGACCATTAGATTGGGCCCCCATAACCGTCCTATCTCCTACCCCATGTCATCCTATTTTCTTTCCCCACCGATTTGTCCCGAATCATAGGGAGGCATGCGCTAGTTTTTCTTCTCATCCACCTTCCACGTTGCTCGCCGCATCCACCTCGCACACTCCCGCAACTTGCCGCAGCTGCTGCTGCCCTCTAGTTGTCGTGTGCAGCTAATGCCGCAAGCAGGACCGCCGCTCCCGCATCTAGTGACGGTTGCAGCACATTCTTCAAGGGTTGCAAATGATTTTGCTGCAATGGTTGCAACTCTACTGCCGGTTGGTTTTGGTTCCAGCATGCGGGCACAGCGATAGCAGTGCCGTCGGTCCCAACTCCCATGCGCCGACGGTCGCCGGTACCATCCTCCCCCCGCCCCCGCCCTGTCGCAGCTCCAGTAGTCGGGGGTGACAGCAAAAATCTTACGGGTTCGGCTTTCCAAACGACGATTCCATCTCGCTGCAGTAACGGGTAATAAGTAATAACATCCCACGGTCACGAGTTCCCAGCTCGCCCGTGATCACCAGCTCCTCCGTCTTCAGTTGAAGCTTTTTATTACGTAGGTTCTAGCTTTCTAGGACGCCGGTCGTAGCATTTGGAGCTGCTGGTTGCAGCTTTGTGGCGCAAGGACGCGACTGGCGCAATTCCTGGCTAGTCGGCCTGGGAATTGTTTTGCTTCTAGTACTCTGTAGAGCTTAATTGGATCATGTATATTCATTTATTAGATCAACAAAGAAGTTTAATTGGTTGATCTGTCCATAGATATCATTAAGTATATAAGATAATTGTCAAAAGATTGTTTTTCAATCGGTGCATTGAGGATGAGTACACACCATTGTCTATATACGAAGCAAAATGAGTGAATGTAGAGAATATATATTACATTGTTTGTATTTTAAGTTGATTTTTCATTCTTAAGACAGCTCTAAGGAATGTTCTAATGTAAGGGCTGGCCTAGCCATATAGAAAATGTTCTTCAAATTTGGGTGCAAGCTGGAGAAGAGAAAATAAAATAAATTGGAAATATGAAGTCTCGGTCAAGAGAACTCTTAACAAACTTCAATTTGGATTGTAGGATAACTGTACATGTATTTTATTCTTAAAATATGGATACGAATATGCCATAATTAACTGGCATTCAGTTCCTGTTCGATCCAAATATTATTTTTATTTCTTTTATATCTTTTGTTATAAGTGGTTATTACACATATGTTCCTGAGTATAGTGTACTTTTTACCTAATAATGTGATTTAAGCTGTATAAACTACCATGGCTGTAAATAGTTGTGCGCAATATATAGTGAATTATTCTACCAAGAGTTTTGCATTCCACCTGGTGATTACTTTTACCTTGCCGCGCGTGTGTGTTCTGTTGTCACGTATTTAATGGCCAGGAGGGTGAGGATTGGATCTGAGGTAGTAGTCGTGGGTCGTAGAAGTGGTATGCATTGGTGCAGGAAGTCCTCTCGCATCCGATGAACACCATCTTGGTGCTGCGATCGGCATGCTTTTATAGTTGCAGCTTCACAGTCTTCACACGCGTCATGCACCCAAACGTCTGTAGATGTGATACATTCTGGTTACGCCTGTAGATGGCTTCATACGGAGTCTAACTGAATTTGGATATAGCAAGAAAACCTTCTTCGGGGTGAACTGTTCTAACATCCAAAGTTCCAAACTCTCATTCGGAATTAATGCTAACTAGGGACAAGTAGAGATAATACGTATCTCGATCTTCCTGGACTCCTGAAGCGGGTGGTGTTGTAGCTCTCCGCCCACGCAGATACCCACATGACATCTGGCATCTTGAGTCCACTTGAGGAGGCATGTTTAACACTAGGTGGCATCAATTGGTGCGTGTTGTCCTGGATCAAGTCTGAACATCCACATATTTTGCGTGCCGCTTCATGTTACGGATTGTACATTTGAGCAATTTGTTCCAAGAATTTTTCCAGGACAGCTTATACACATCAATGCCACATCATTTCAAATGTGGCGCCTGCGAGGTGTGCCTAAGATCTCAGTATGTGGTTCAGGTCTGTGTAGCTTGACACTTATCGAAAAGAACATAACCCTGTTTGCATCAAGCATGTATTCCTATAGAAAGTGTTAGAGCCACTTTAGGCACCCATCAGCACATATATGTATGCCTACGTAGGACTGTAACCCTGGTATGATCTTAAAACTAATTTTCTCCTAAACATTGGTGATGATATACGAGACTGACATTAACAAGTGTATCTACAGAAGAACATTTAGGATTTGTGAATTTTGCAGTGGGTGTAAAGTTTAAACGCATGGTCCATCACCCATATGCATACCTGCAACACCAATGTCATTTGTGTATAACACACTTGTGCTGAAATTTCTATGATCCAAAATTAATGAACATAATGAATTATATATATGCAGCAACTTTCCCGTCTAGGGTATTCCGCTTTCCTGATGATTTTTTCAAATTGGTATACATCTGGTAGATCTGATTTGTGCTGTTCAGTTTTTCGTTTATTTTTTGTACTCACAGTTATATGTATCTTATGGTTTCAAATAATGCTCTTCAATTCTGTAGGAAGCACTTGAAAGTCCAAACCTTTTTGAAGGACTGGATACTCACTCATCACAGAAACCTGAGGCCTCACAACATCACAGAGAAGAGAGAGAAAAGATATCTGAGAGAAGGAAGCAGGGGAAGATCAATAATATAAAGAAGAAGGCTGACACACAAAAGCACATGAACGGCAATAAAGCCGACAAAGTGGGGAAACTACGAGATTTGGAAAATTTTATCCCTGGGCATGGCATTTTAAAGTGCACAAAGCACACATCAGTGAAAATGGTCAAGGAGAAACATGGCAATTCAGAAGGCAAGGAAATAATAGAACTCTGCCGCAAATCAGTGAAACGTGTCAAATTCTCAGAAGCAGATGCTATACTTGAGCTACCAGAACAACAAAGTCTCTGCAAGATGTTTTCAGATGCTATGGCTTCTTCATCGTCGTCCTCGTCATCATCATCGTCATTCACGCCTACCGAATCAGACAAATGCATAACTGCAGAAAGTGGTAGTTCTCATATTCCCAAGGAAGCTTTCAGTAAAGCCAAAGAAGCAAATAAGAATTCAGATCATGAGGATTCTCCTGACAAATGCATAACTGCAGAAAGTGGTATTTCTCATATTCCCATGGAAGCTTTCACTAAGTCGAAAGAAGCAAATAAGAATTCAGATCATGAGGATTCTCCTGAGCCTGGTAACAGAGAGATGTTCGCTCCTTTGATTGATCTGAATATGGCGTTACCGGAATCTACTGAATTGGACCAAAGGTATGATTCATATTCAGAGGTGCCAAATCTGGAGCATACACATGAGGGAACTTTAAGTTCTGATGTCCAATTGCTTGATGGGAGAGAAAACCGGATGAATTTTAATGTTGTTTCACAGAGACTGGAAAGCGAACAATCTACTGCTGACTTGGAACGAACAACAAATTCAAGTTCGGCAGGCACATTTTTGCATGGTGAGGCGATAAAAGTTTCTGATGTAGATGCTGCTGGTCCTCCATTGAGCTTAACTGAACTTGCTGAGACTCGTCGTGGTTGCAGTAATGTTTCAGTAAAAGACACTATGACTATGAGTACGTCTCCTTTTGCATTGCCAGATCATACATTTCAGGATTCATTTCGGCAGCACCAGAGTTGGTTTTCCACCAGCAGCAAATTTTCTTCCTGCCCATCTCATGAATCTAATGTGTCGCACAGTAAGGAGTTCAATTTTCGTTCTGAGTTGAACATGCCGCATGAGAATGGACCATTGACAGGACAGACAGTTCGTTTGATGGGTAAAGATCTTCCAGTTTGCATGACCAGAGCTGAATTGTTTTCGGAGACTGCGCAGAGGCATACAGGCACTTTCACCAATGACTATCTCAACGCAAATGTGTTCTTGCCACAACCAGGACGGCCTTTTCTCTCTTTACAAGCTCAGAATTTCCCCAATGATACAGTAAATTCCACCAGTATAATTAATGCTTCAACATATCATGCAAGCGCAAGTCAGGCACGGTCTACACATGATTACAGCCACCCTTTCCCTGCAGCTAATGTACTGTCTGGAGATCAGTTGCCATATGAAAACAGGTTTGTTGATTTTTCAAACTCGCAGACCAATCGGCCTTTTCTATTGGGCTGCCCACCTCCTCCCAATCATGGCAGTGCAGCATTCCAACAGAATTCCCCGTCGCGCCGTTATTACTCTGATCCTATCACTAGAACAGAACCACCCACAGCACCACCTTTGCCTACAACCAGACAGCATGGCACACCATCTTCAGGTTTCCATGCCAATTTGCCTCAGCAACATGTTGTGCATTCAGCAAGCTCATCAGTGGGTTTTACATTCAACCATCCAGGCCATGTAGTTCAAGCACCTTCCAACAGCATAAGAGATGTGGCCCTTTCGGCCAGAAATACAGACAACAGAATGGGGAGCGCTGTTCTTGGCAATTCCAATGCTTCGCCTAGTGGTCGCTGTGTGCAGAAGAGATCAGGCCCAGTGAAGCTCACTCCTGGGGCGAAGCATGTACTGGTGCCAAGCGATAGCACAGGTGATGGCGATTCCGCGCCTGTGTACTCATGTGTTTCGTTCGCAAGTAGGAGTACAAATGCTGCATGTCCTCAGAACAGAGCATGATACCCTTTGTTGAACTTTTGCTTGGCTGCAGTTCCATGAATCTATAAAACATCGGGGCTGTTCTTATTTAATTTCATTCATTTAGTTGGATCCTTTTGAAAAATGTTTGTTACATTTTTTTCTGCTTGTGATAGTTGTGATATTTCAAATGATTTGCTTCCTTCGTTAGTAATTATTTCCTCAGCTGAACCTGAATCCTTGGCTGGTGTAGCCTTAGACATGTACTATTTTATATTTCTGTATTGTTACTTTTGGTCTGGAAGCTAAATAGAAAATGTTACCTACATTTTGTATTTGCAACGTTCATTCTGAACAGAATAGGCCAGGAGCTCATTATATATTTTTGTCATGAAAACCCGTCAATTCTAAGTTGTCTGTAAATAATTATTCTTTCTGAGAAGACAATGTTGTTTCTGATACTGGTTGTCTTGTGCTGTGAAGTGAGAGTTATTGGCTCATTTTATGCCTTGTAGTATACCGTGACACCCACTTGAAACAAGGCTTCCGCCCTATTTTATAAAGGAGATCAAAATAAAATCGACATCTGAGGGTGTAGCGAAGATGTTGGCAACTAAGAGCATCTCCAGCAGATCCTGTATAACGCCGACCCGCAAAACGTGTTTACAGTTTGCGAAAAAACGGCTTTGCGGGCCGGTGCGGGCGGCCCAGAGTCAGACCCTGCAAAACGGACCCGTAAAAAAGAATATTCGCGGAATATCCTCTTTTACGGGTTGGCTTTGCGGGGTCTGCTCGGGTGCTGCTCCCGCCGGCCCGCAAATCCGAAATTTGCAATTCAATTTCACACATGAAAATGCATTTCTTTGCTTTTTCAACGGCATTGGATACATAGTACTTCACCAAATGTTTGCTAGAATAGTAACGCCAAAGAAAATAAGAACCAAAATTATGCATTTTAGAAGATATCCAGCTTTCATAACTGCTCCCACTAGTTGGACCAATATCTTCTCCATGCATTCGTTGTTGATCTGTGGATTCTTATTTTTGCATTATTCATTCTTCTTCTTTGGTTGTAAAGAAGTAGACGTTGCTTCTCCTCTACTTTTTTCTCTAATTGCACATGCAACTGCATCATTAGCTTCAATTCTACTAAGGAGTGCACGAACATCTATTAAGTTCCTTTCTATCAATAAATCAATGTATTCTCTTTCCCAAAACCACAATGAGCATCCATCTTCCTACACACATGACGATGTTCAAAATGAGCTATCGCAATTGAACTGAAGAATACAGTGACAAAGCCGAATGAAACAACACATACCCCGTCGTTTTCACATTTAAAGAACACCCATCCGGGGTGCTTCGGCGTGCCTGAAGTTAGCCGCAGCACTGTCCGCGTGCAGTCGTCGCACTGTATTAGCGACATCGGCGAGCCGCTGCGCAAGCGCCGAGCCCGGCGGACGGACGGCCGAATCCCTGCCGACAAACCGGCGGCGGCGGCTACAGGGCAAACCCGTACCTGCATGCGGCAATGGGGTTTTGTCAGGGCTGCGCAGGGTGCTCCCCGACCAATCCATGGCTTGGCGCAGCTACTGATTGCCGGAAAAGCCAAATCTGATCGCCTGCATCGAACGACGGTCGATCTTGTTAAAGTTGTGTCGAATATTATTGTACAAGGTAGGTTACAGTTGGACTTATAGTTGGACTGTGTGTAGGCATGGTAGGAGTTGTGTCCTAATAGGACACTTGTATCCTAGGCCTCTCATATATAGCGGGGGTAGACACACGATGTAACCTATGCCAACATAATAGCACATGCACGCGGGGGAGCCGGCGGCGTGTGCCGGCGCCCGGGTGGCCGGGGTGCGGTATTGTGACGGTGTCATGGGGAGGAGCGCCCGTAGTCAAGCCCCGGGGATGTAGCCATGTCGGTGAACCTCGTTAACAAATCTCAGTGTCGTGCCTCGTCTGATTGCTTGTTCCTCGGTAGATCGACGGAGCACCTCAGATTAATTCTAACAATTGGTATCAGAGCCCAGGTGCCCGAAATAAATCTCGGTGAACTCACGGGTGGTCGGTCATGGTTGGCGGGCTGGAAACGCTGGTGTTAGCGGGCCCATGGGTGACCGATGTGTGAGGGGGAGATTGTTGGGTTTAGTCCCACATCGATTGTGGGGACAGACATAACACGACTTATAAGGGCGGGGGTGTCCCCTCCTAATAGGCTAGTCTTTTGGGGGGAGAGGGCCCAAGGCCTTTCGGTGTTGCTCTCCGGTTGGGCCTGGTTGACGCATGTGGGTCGGAAATGCTGGTGATAGCGGACCCTGGATTGCGTAACAGATCTGCAAATTTCCGGCCCGCCGACATAGGAGGAAGTGGCGGAGGGCAACCTCGGGCGTGTGGCGGCCTTCCGACGTGATCCCGCCGGCTACTTTCGCCGGAATCATGGGCGGCGGCCCGGCGGTGGGGTGAGGGGGAGAGGGGCGGCGGTGGGTGGGGAAAAGCGCGGGCTGAAATGTCCTCCCCACCAACCGCTCCCGCTATATACGGGGCGCCGAGGGACCGAGGGGCGGAGCCCATGTTTTCGCGGGTTGGGACGGGAATTATGCCGCGCCCCGCAAAAACTTTTACGGGTCGGACGCGTTTACGGGGTCTGGTCGGGCAAGATTTTCTGCGCCGACCCGTAATTTGGCGGTTATTTTGTGGGTCACGACTTTTTACAAGGTCTGCTAGAGATGCTCTAAGTCGACCAAGAACCACGAGAAGCCACACCCAACAAGTACATGAGACCACCCAACAAGTACATGAGACCACTAACTAGGAATGAAAACCCCAATTCCTTAGGAAATCACCGGACACCGTTACACCGCACACACCAAACTATCGCCAGAGAGGGCCACCTGCCCTCTCGCTCAGCGATGGGAGCGTCGATCCTACTTGCAGACAGCGAGGACCTAGAATGGTAACAAGATGCCATGTATAAAAGGTAGGGGGACCAACGGTACTACCCATGCCACAGTCGAAGAAGCTTCATGCAAGGATCCATGCCTAAAGACGTCGGCGCACTGTGACCAGAAGATAGCTGAGCTCCACGATGACGCCCCCGAGAGGGTAACTATGCACCATGCGGCCACTGGAGTAGGTCTCGTTGGTATTCTAATTACATGAAATGCAGATGGATTCAAAAAATAAGGAAAATTGGTGTCATCGTGGCGTGATCTCGAGACCCCATATAATTTTTTTGTAAAGTTTGGCACAAGTTGTGATGATCGCTCCTTGGAACCCAAAGCATCTCACAAGAAGGATTATAGTTTCCAAAAGGAGATGTGGCAATTCGAACTCCAATCGGCGGTGACTTCATCGTTTCGCCTAAAAAATTTCACAGTACGCAATCACCATTGTATCCTAGATTTAATTTTCTGGTGCATTTGAGGGCTCGTTTGCTATATTTAAGGTATTTTTGTATTTACCATGCATTCAGTGCATATAAATCAAATCTCAACTGCAACTACACGTGGTTTTTGACAAAGAAGCTCTAAAAATAATCATTTGTGTGCCGCTTTGCATGTTTTCAGTCATTTTCCAAGGAATGAGAATAATTTTCAAACATTTCAGCTGCGAGATGTGGCCATCGATGTAGGGAATGTTAGTAATTTAATGATAGGAAATGCAGATGGACTCTGAAAATCATGAAATCGACGTGTCACCGTGGCATGATCTCAAGACCTCGTGGAAATATTTTTGGTAGTTTGACACAAGTTGCAATGATCGCTCCTTGGAAATTAGAGCATCTCACAAGAAGAATCATAGTTTCCAAAAGGAGGCGTGGCAATTCAAACTCCAATCAATGGTGACTTCATCGTTTTCCTCGAAAAAAATTCCACGCTAGGCAATCACCATTATATTCTAAGTTTGATTTTCTGGAGCATTTCACGGCTCATGTGCTATATTTCAGCCATTTTTTTGTATTTACAGGCATTTAGTATATATAAATCAATCTCAACTGCAACCACATGTGATGATGAGAGGGATAAGGATTGCCATTCGATCTTGGTCCATCCTATGGTGCAGACGTATGATCCATGGATTTGGGGTTCTGGCCAATCAAAATGCACAACTCACATTGCGCACGCTAGGGGTCATTGGCCACGGTTTGATAGACATATGACTTTCGTGAATGAACCGTGTGCTAGTGATAAATTAGATTGCATATGTTCAGTTACATACTGGAGTGAGATCAATTGAATGTGCTAGCTCTATGGTATATAATCATAAATAGTTCAAATTCATTGCTCGGGCTGACAACATATTGATACGTCTCCATTGTATCTATAATTGTTGATTGTTCCATGCCAATATTCTTCAACTTTCATATATTTTTGGCAACTTTTTATACTATTTTTGGGACTAACATAATGATCCAGTGCCCAGTGCCAGTTCCTGTTTGTTGCATGTTTTATGTCTCGCAGAAAACCAATATCAAACAGAGTCCAAACGGGATAAAAATGGACGGAGAATTATTTTGGAATATTTGGGATTTTCCGGAGGAAGAATCAACGTGAAACGGTGTCCGAGGTGGCCACGAGACAGGGGGACGCGCCCTGGACTCTCGTGGGCCACCCGTAAGGCGGTTGACGCTCTTCTTTTGCCGCAAGAAAGCTAATTTTACGAGAAAAATCTGGGCGAAAGATTCACCCCAATCGGAGTTACGGATCTCCAGATATAAAGAAAACGGTGAAGGGGCAGAATCAGAGAACGCAGAAACAGAGAGATAGATCCAATCTCGGAGGGGCTCTCGCCCCTCCCAAGCCATGGGAGCCAAGGACTATAGGGGAAACCCTTCTCCCATCTAGGGAGGAGGTCAAGGAATAATAAGAAGAAGGGGGCCTCTCTCCCCCTTGCATCCGGTGGCGCCGCAGCGCTGCCGGGGGCCATCATCATCACCGCGATCTTCACCAACACTTCCGCCATCTTCACCAACATCTCCATCACCTTCCCCCATCTATATTCAGCGGTCCACTCTCCCGCAACCCGCTGTACCC